TTGGATCCTCTGCAAGAATAACCATTGCCCTCAACCACTGAGCTATCTCTCCAGCTCCAAGTCTTTTTTTTTTTTTCTTATACATATGAATTTACAGAGTATAAAATTTGATAGTAGTCTATTAGGCTATATTAAAGCATAGTTTTCTATATTTAATAAGGTGCCTTTCATTCATAGTTTAAAAAGTAAATATGCGGCAAATATAAAAGAAACATATCTCAAACTCAGTGTCTCTCAAACTTCAGTGTACACCACAATCAAGACCGCCATGTAATAACACAACACAGTTGCTCTCCCAGAATGTAGAGATACACCTGGTCTTCCTTGAGACCTAGAAATACTCATTTTTTTCAGTTTCCTGGGTGATACTAATGAAGCTGTAGGGGAAACATATCTCTAGTACAATTGCTTATTATTATTATTTATCTGAGATGAGCATTACAAGACTACAAGGAAAATGTAAGATTGTGAAGCTAAATGATACAAGTTGACAGAAAACATTTTTCTTTTCCTTTGGAATATCTAGTGACATGTTTGTAACATTTCTGGAAAAGGAATGTATTTATCAATCATAAGCTCATTCATTATTGAGATATTATTAGAAAAACATAAAATTCAACACTTTATTAAAGTAAAAGTATCTTTACTATTAATATACAAATGGTGAAGAGTGACAATTTTGATATACCATAAGCCATACTTTCAATGTCTCTCATAAATACAAAACTTCAACATTTGCAGTATATTTTTACAGTTTAAACATATATATACAGCATTTCATAGGGACATACTATACTGAAAAATAAGAAACCATAATAGTTAACTTAAGAATACAGAATTTGAATGGAATATATAAGTTAATGAAAATAAATGATTGTATATTTTAATGCATACTGAACAGAGTATAGAATTTTCATACTCAAAAGCATGGGTTTTTTTAAAATTTTACTTCTAAGAAATTGATCTAACAGGGGTCAGAGGCAAATGCTAAACTGACAACATTTCTTAAGATGGTAACAATTGTATTTGTTTTTAGTGATACCATTTATTTTGCAGGAACATGATGTCTTCTTAAAAAACTGTATTTGCAAATTGAATCATAGATTCTATCTCTTTTCACATGATCTCCAAGAATGCATTACATTTTTTCTTTACCTTTAGTATCATTGGCACAAATTTGCTTCTAAATAATGTTTATACTCCCAGGTCAGTCATTTTTCACAACCTGGTCTTTATCTATTCCAAATGAAGTTAACTTTCCCGGATCATTTCATCTTTATTTTCAACTCTCCTTTCTGGTTCTGATAGAAATGTTCCAAAAATCATTGCTTTATTCTCTTCCTGGAGGATAAAATTAGACTCTAATATGGTATGAGTTTTCACTAGACAGAAAGAAAACAAAAATGTGATATTTAAATGTATATGGGAAATTTCTATAATAATATTTATGAATTTTGGAAAATAGCCTTAAAATTGTTTTTCTAATAAAAATTGAAGATATGGTACCATGTAATTGATTTAAATTACTGATAAAATTCTATAGTAAAAAATGAACTCTTTCTAAGAATATTAAAAATGTTTTCAAATAAATATTCACCATTATATGTAATATAAAAGTCTAAAAATCTTTGACTTTTATATGAGGAGAAATAATTTTATTAGTTTTCCTTTATAATTTTGTTAAATAACTGCATCTACATGAGTAAATGCAATTTAATAAAAGAAACAGGAAGGGTGGAGCCTGGAAGAAAGTTACAAGTACTCAGCTACTACTTTGTTTAGATCCTTTTACAGTATTTTCATTTACACACACAATTGTTTCATATTGGAACATTATTAAAAGCATGTTTATAGATATTTATAACATTTTCATAAGTAAGTCTTCTTTTGAGAGTAATGTAGCTTGTTTTAACCTACTATATTTAATTTTAGCACATGTCAATATCTTTTAGTTTTAGACAGAATCATTCAAAGATTTTATGAAGAGATGGAAATCTTTTCAGAGATAAATATTGAAAGCTCCCATTTTAAAAGTTTTTTCAACTACTCATAAAGTGAAAAACACTCTGGAAAATACCTCCACAATGAATTAAATTAGAGCATTTATATTATTCTTCATGACAAAGGATACCACTTATTTGAAATAATTATGATATGCTACATCAATATTTCTAAAATTAAAATAAGTAAAATTCTTCTAGCACTTCAGTTGTAAATATTTTCATTCTGTGTCTTATTATAACAAGGATAATTTGTCATTTCAACAACAATAATGAAGATTCAAGCGACATCACAAGAATTTGCCATTTCCAAATATCATCTTCTGTGTTTTCTTTTACCTAACAAACACAATTTTCAATATTTAATGTACTTATTGTTTAGAAAAGCAATCTAGAACAAATTAAGTATTTCACTGATTTAGTGAAAGGAACTAATTTTTCATATGTGAACATAGATCACACAATATAATGTATTTGGATTTTATACTTAGGAAAAATTAGTTTGAATTGAGCTATTCATTGAATGCGAATAATGTAGTTTGAGGGTCATAGATATGATCAAAATATGTCAATAATGATGGAAGTTGTTTTTCAATAACAGAGTGTCATGTTAATATAAAGGCACAAATACCTCTTACTTATTTAAAATAAGCATAAAATAAAGAGGTGATTATCAAAATATAATTACTTGTTGGCACTTATAAATCATTTGGTTAATAACATGTTTCTATATATATATAAATGTTTAACTTAGAGACTAAGATTTATATGAAATTTACTGAATCGAAAAGCTTTTGAAAAAATGGTGTTATAAGTATTAATATTAAAAATAAGGGAAAAATTTAAAGACTAAATTAATGTAAGATATTAGTATGAATAGAATAGTAATATGCCTTATTCACAAAAATAATAAATTAACCAGCTGAAATTGGGATTTTAACCCATTTGAAAAATCATTGTAAAATACTTAGACTCACTGATTTGTGACAATTTTAAAATGAATACGTATTAAAATTCTATTACTGCTTTCTCTTCTAGGATGTCAAATATAGATTGTCATTTTTAAATTTCTTATAATCTTGCATTTTGCTCATCATTTAAAGTGACACGGAGATCAGATTCTCTTAACAGTACTTAAATTTAGTCAGCTCTGGACATTTTATCATGAAACTTAAGGGGGATTTCAGGCAGTAATAGTAATAGTTACTAAGTACCCTGAATTTGTCTAGTCTAGAATAAAAAATTTTAAACTAGACTATTTCAGGCTTATTCATGCAGTGTAATCTACTATAAAACATTTCTCATTTGGAAACTTTGTAAATAGTGTGATTTGAAGCATCCCTTGTAAATCTTAAACAAAATGCTTATCATAGCAACGACTAGTTCCTACTGGGCACAGACTTCAGACAATAATTAAGGATTTCTCAGACAGACAACTGAATCTGTGTGCTTGAAACAGTCTATCTGAATTTTTTCCCAATTAGTTTTATGTTTCTGGTAATGACTCCATACGATTTGCAAGAAATTTAACAGTATGCATATCAATTTAATTCAACCGATTATTGTACACAATCCAAAGAAAGGGGAAATGAGCATTTCAAATTGGGGAAAGAAGAATTTTCTGCCATTATGATTTCTCTGTTCATTTAGTGTAGCACAAACATGACAACAGTAAACATGCAAAATTGCTTTCTCATCCATCCAAATTGTTTTACTATCATTATTTGAAAACTGTGTGATCCTATCCAGAAAACATTAGTGTTCATGGCTATTGCTTCATAGACACTACTAAGCTTTTTCACTTCCCACAAAGAAACTAATTCAAGTATTTCAACTAGTGTTAGCACATTGGTACAAAACAAAGAAAATAAAGGGCAGGAAAATTAAGGAGACTAAATCATCAGACAAACATAAGCTAAACACCAACAGACAAATTTGTCAAGAGCCAATTGGATAATCAAGTTAGTCAAAAAGATAAAACTAGTTTGTTTGTTTATTTTAGACACTGTTCAGATTCCTACAGAGGCACACATACTATTTTCTCTCTCTAGAATATACCAGGAAGGGTAGCAAGGAGAGATCCCTTCATGATCCCTGAATTTACAGCAATGATACTGTGAAGATCATGGTGTTTTAACATGCAGTTGGACACATTCTGACCAGCTTATAGTCAGCAATGTGAGGAACAGGACAAAGTGACTTATTTGTCTCTCCATGGCTGACAAGTTTAAGCACTTTATAGCTACAAATATTCATGACTGATATTAATTTTGAATTTAATTTTCATCAAATTACCTCAAAGGAGATACACTCTAAAAGCAGGTTCCTCTACACTGTTAAAATTCCTCCAATCAACTATTGGAATGTATTCCAATGAGTTAGTATTGGAGCTAATCATTCTGTACCGGAAACACCAAAGGTTTTGAATGGGAGAGAAAATAAAGAAACCTTTGGCTCTCTAGTGTAAGAAATAATCTAAACCCTGCTCCCAGTGGGTATATATATTTATAACCATAAATGCATTGTACCTTCTGTATAAGTTAAATTATAATTCATTCTTTTACCTTAGGGAGCTTGCATAGCTTGGAAGTTAGTATTGTATTCTTGTATAGACCTTACAAGTGATATTAGAAAATTGATGCTGAATTTTTATAAGAATTTCTACAACCATAGCTGTTTATCAAAATCTTAAAATGGGTGCAAACTTCAATGATTTATAATAAAGACAATAATGGCATTTCAATTGTTTATGAGTGATTCTTCTCTGGCACCTTTATATCTTAAATTAATTCATTTTAACATGTAATTTTAATGCCTATTTTACTTAAGGAGGAACCTATAAGATCCAGAAAATTACTTCTTGAAGATTATCTAAAACTATACACCAAAATGTATTTAATATAACTCTAAATACTTGAAGACAAATAACTTTTTTGGCAAATCATTTTAAAAATAAATATAATCATGTATTTGTAAATATATCAACACAGAATATTGATATTTTTCCCATTTAAATTCACTTTATTTGAAGCTGAGGGCAGAAATCAATATCATTTTCACTTGTATTACATTTACTTTTTGTGTAATCCATTGTGAGTATGGCATAGCTAAAGAGAGAAATTTAGAGTCTTTCTAATGGAATTTCACATCCAAATAATCTTTCAAATGTGTAGCAATGTTGACCTGGTATTTCAGCATATCAAATATCAAGGTTGAAAATTTACTGTAATCATTATTTGAAAAGAATTCTCCACTTCCTCAATTTTCAATATCTGCAGAAGATAACTAACTGGCTTTTTCAAGCCTGGCTTCCCTGAATATCCCCTGATAAAAGTGTAACCTTTATTATGTGCCTTCATTTTAAGCTGTAAGCCACTCTAATAATGTGTTTGCCCAAGATAAGATTCATAAACATGCAGGCTTTCTTATACATTAAGCTCACAAAGCCTTTGTACTGCCTTCTATTACAGCTTCATATTTTAGAGAGCTTGAAAATATATTTGTTGGTGTTATGTGAGACAAAACCTTAAAGGAAGAGCACTTGAACCATATAATAAGTTGCAGTACATCAATCGTACATTCAAATTGATACCCAAGAGTTGGTGCCAATCAAGCTTTTATACCAAAATTCTTAACAAAATTAACAACCACAACAACAACACAAAAGTAAATGGACCATGGTTGGAGGAGTTATCATATGTATATGTATACAAGCTATTCCAAGCTAGACGTTTCCCAAGAAATTAAGGTCAATGGAATAGTTTTGGTTGTAGGGTCACTGCAATCCAAATGCGTTTTGTAGTGCAGACCAAGCTGCTGGAGCATTGTGGTTACGCTTTGCTGTCATCTTCTTTTGATTGGATGATGTCATTAGATACTTTAATTTCTATGGTTTCAGCATTTAGCACTTCTTTTCCATTTTCTTCTTTTAAAGGTAGTTTTCTGGAAATAAATAGAAATAATAAACTCCATTTGCTAGAACATTTTTTTCTTTTTCTTTTCTTTTTTTTTTTTTTAATGTGTATGCATGTTTTGCCTGCATGTAGGTAGTAGGTGTACCCATGTCATGCAATGCCTGTAGAGATCAGAGAAGAAGACATTGGATCCCCTGGAACTGGAGTTATAAAATGTTGCTAGCTGTCCCATGTGTGTTGGGAATCGAACCAGGTTCCTGTACTAGAGCAGCCAGTGCTCTTAAGTAATGAGCGAGCTCTTTGGTCCTGCTAGGATAATTTACAACATATGTCTAGCATTTTAAGTAAATGTCTCGTAGTGAAGCCTAGTATACCAATTAGAGAGAAACAGGTAAAAACTTAAAGTATTATCAAATTATTTGCAAAATAACTTAGTCATTAATAAAATAATTATTTACTTTAAGAATGTAATGCTGTACGGAGGAGGCACGAATCAAAGTATTTTAGAATATATATGAGAAGAAATGCTCATTGTTCGGTAACAGATTTGAAAATTACTTCATCTTTAAAAAATTGCTAATTTTCTTTATATGCCCACTGTGTAATTTAAAGTATCCCTTAATCCTGTAGTACAAACCATACTTTCTGGCTTCTCATTCCACAGAATTAAAAAGTGTGTGAATTATCATCTCCATTGGGACTTAATCGAGAAAAATACAGTTTAAGAATTTATTATTTTATTTTATATTTTCTTATATATTCCTTTAACTTCATTATTATTTCTTATTGATAATTTTATATCAGCTTGGAACATAATTTTTGAAGGTTGTTTCTCATTATGACAATGAATCAATACAAAACTTAAGCCTTAGGGTGATGCAATTGAATGAAAATTTCCTGATTTTTATTTTCTTTTCATTGTAACATTCATTAGTTTAAAATTCTATCTAGGGTATGCTAGAGTTTCAGTTTATCTCTGTCTTCCATCTCATCATTTTATGGACGAATGAATGTTTCTATGTAAGCGCCTCAATTATTTACTTGCAATTTATATTTCCTAATAAGCAGGTTAGACAATTGTGAAACGGCAATCAAAGAAATTATGTGAAAAGCAACCCATCACGAGCAAGCAATAGACAAAAATGAATCAGAGCTGTTATTGAGAATGAAGTGCTAAGTTCTCAACACCCGTTAGTACAGCCTTCTATATGTATGCTATAGAAGTGTATTCACTTTTCCTTTTTGCCTCGTTTGAAAGTTGAAAACGTGGACAGCAAAAAATTATAAAGACAATATGTCATTTATAGCATCAAATTGCAGAGAAAAATGTAAGTATTGATAGGTTAGCTGGAATTCTCATTCCTTACTTGTAGAAATCTGTAATGGATAGTTTGTGCATGGTCCAAAAGACAGTTTATTTGAAACAAAGGTGACAACCTGCAGGAAGGAAGAACTAAGCTTAATATAAATGCACATATGTGTGCATCCCACTCTGGTATACACACACTCATGTTCAGGAACTGTATGTGTATTTTTCAGTTTTTTTTAAATTTTTTTATTTAACTTTTGTATTTTTATATAGAATATCTCAAATTATTTTAATTATCTTTATACCCCCTTCCCCACTAGCATCCTCTCAAACCCCAAGACCACACTGAAGCCCATATACCCTGTCATCCCTGTTAAGATGACAGGGTACATGGGGTATCAAGTCAGTGTCCCCAGACATTCCCCAGACACATCTACAATGCAACCTCTAAACCTAAGGCTCATTGAACATAGAACAGTGGTAAAGAAGAGGATACCAATGAATCTCTCAGTATTCAGGGGTTTTAACTGGGCAAGTTTTAGAGATTAAGAGGCTGGAGAGTATGTGTCCCAGGATAGGATTCCTATATTAAACCTCACTTATCCATGGCTCTGAGATCATTGCTGAAGAGGGGCCAGAAAGATTGTAGGAGCCAGACTTACTGTGTGAACGTAAAGAGACAAGAGGCTTTCAGGCCTCTGGAAACTTGCTCATATGAACTTGGAACAATGGTGACAGCATGCACAAGACCATGCCAACTCAATCGGATCAAAATCTAGCAAATAGGCAGCAGGCCTTGACCTTAGCAGAGGATCTATTAGCAATGAATTACTGTGAGGTGAGGGAGAGTAGATACTTAGAGGAGTGACTCTAGGTAGGCTGACTAGACTCCAGTGGATGAACTTGCACCAAGGGGCATATGGGTACAAATGCTTGACAAGACAGGGCTCAGCATATATGACAGAATGCAAGAGATATGATGTGGGTTGCGGCTATGGCAGGAAGTGGGAGGGAAGGTCTAAATTTGGTTAAGATATATTACATCAAATGCACAAAACTCATTAAAAATATACATAAAACACATAGGATGTATTGGATGTTTAATGAACCCAGTTTTTCTACTGATTATGAGATGGTAAACGTATAATTAAATTTATGTTAAATAGTTTTTAACAATTATTATCGAATTAAGGTTTCTTTTTTCTATATTTTCTGATAAGCAGTTTCTTTGTTATGCAATGCTTTACTTTCTTAAATGGAAATTATAAAACCTATTTTAAGTAGGTGTTTCTAAAACAGTTGACTTCCATCGAGACAGTAAAATTCTTTAAAGGCAGTCATTAAAAATATCCCTATATTTGCAGTGAAATAGTGGTACTTCTTATTTGTCTATATTATTTCAGCTCTGTTAAAAATAGAGATGTTTCAATATTTTTTCTTGATCTGGCAATTCTTCGCCTGTGACTATGACTAGAGATTGAAACCCTAATCAGATTACCCTTAAAAGGAATGTTAACAAGAAACAAAACAAGATACTTGATTTGATTTCTGTGAACAGTGACAAAGAAAGTGATGAAGATGATTTTGTTTTTATCAACTGTGTTAAATGACATGCTACTATCATTTCTTAATGATAACTCAGGAGGAATCATTTTAACATTTTATACACGAATCAAGAAACACGTTCATGTCCAAAGGTTTAGTTGAAATATCTGCTGAAGTTTGAATAGACCTATGAGAGTTGCAAAATCTAAATAACAGAACACTTGTAAATTGGCACTAAGCAACCTAAACCTAATATATGTTAAAATTATAGTTTAATGTTATTTCTAGGATACCTAAATTTTTAAAAACTAAGCACTAAGAAAAAAACAAAAAATGATCCATGAGTCTGAACTGAGAATTAACTAATGAAGTAAAAATGACTGACAGACCTTTTTAAAAGTGTTCAACATAGGCAACAGATAAATGCAAATTAAAACTACATTTAGATTCTATATCACACCAATAAGAATAGCCATTGTCAAGAAATTATAAGGCAACCAATGCTTGCAAGGATATGGGGAAAATGGCACCCTTATTCACTGTAGGTGGGAGTCTAAATTGGTATAGCAAATTTGGTTATAAGTGTGGAAATTCCTCTAAAAACAGAACAATACATGATGGTACAAGTTTATCCCTCCTCAGGTTACCCACACTATCCCACATCCTATTACAAGTTCAGTCATGTTCACTGATTCTCTACTCATAATAGCCAGGAAAGTGAAACACTCTAATTGTCCATCAGCTGATGAATGGATAATGACTATATGGTACATATGCATGACTGAATTTTATTCAGAGGTAAAGATAAATGAGGAAACCCATTGAGTGGGAGAAAATCTTCACCTGCTACCGATCTGAAAGAAGATTATTATCCAGAATACACAAAAAACTCAAAAATAAAAAAAAACAACGGAAAAAATTAAATAAATGACCCAATAAAAAGATAGGCTAAAGACCTGAAGAGAAAGTTGTGAAATGAAAAAATAAAAATGCCTAAGATGCACCTTACAAACATAGTGCTTGAAACTCTGGCAAGAGCAATAAGACAAGAAAAGGAAATTAAAGGAGTAATAATTGGAAAAGAAGAGATCAAATTATCCCTTTTTTG